CCTTCAACCTGGAACCCTAAACCCCTTGGAGAAGCTCAGGTGGTGGTTGCCCACGAGCTCCTCACTTTCGAGTACCCCGCGACAGGAATGGCTTCTTAGAGAAACGCGGTTAGGGTTTAGGGTTTAGGGTTTAGGGTTTAGGGTTTAGTCCCTAACATGCTTAGCATTCCTGGAAATGTATCTGGACATGAAAATGGAGATGGCAATTTCCATCTTCTTGTCCATGTGCTTAAAGTAGCCGGATGATATTCAGGATCAAGAAGGTGTGATTAACCGAGCACACCAAGCAGCACTCCCGTTGCTTTCCAATTTCCAAGGCCCAAAGAAAAAGGAAAGCCATGCCAACCTAGAATCCCTTGATAACCCCCAATGGTATAACCCCAATGGAATAATCCGTTTATGACCAGAATGGGGTATTCCTACATAGCCCCGAAACCCCAAACCCTGAACCCTACACCCTAAACCCTAAATCCTAGACCCTAGACCTTATCCCGGCATCCTCGAGCAGGACCGCAGTCTCCTCCTCAGCGTGGAAAGGACCGGCACCCACAACGGCCGATACAGCTTCAAGCTCAGTTTCCATAGAGTTTCTCAAGATGGTGGGTCCCTGTTTGAATGGTTGAGGGTTTAGGGTTTTAGGGCTTCAGGGTTTGGGGGTTAAGGGTTTAAGGGTTTAGGGTTTAGGCTGCAGGAACCTTTAAACAGTCCTTGTTTGAAAGGGTTTAGGTTTTAGATAGAGCTTTGGGTTTAGGGTTCAGGGTTCCGGGGACTTTCCCAAGTTGGAGGCATCCCTAGGTCTCTCACAGCATGCCTTACGTAGGTCATCCCCCCCATGACAGTATCTGTCCTTAAAGCCCCAGTACCTATTGTGGTAACAAAGCCCTAAACCCTAAACCCTCAATCCTAAACCCTAACCACTCAATCCTAAACCCTAAACCACTCAATCCTAAACCCTACACCCTCAATCCTAAACCCTGACCACTCAATCCTAAACCCTAAGCACTCAACCCTAAACCCCACCATAAGGCGGAATGACCTAAAGCATGCCTCACCCCCAAGCTGCGGAGAACCAAGGCGTGTTGCCACAGGGCTCTTTGAGAACTTCGGCGCGCGAAGCTTAGGGTTCAGGGTTTGGGGTTGAGGCTTTAGGGTTTAGGGACTGGGTCAAAATATCTCACTGGTGGTTTATATTACGGAATAAGGGAACATAGTCCGCAGGAGAGAGAGAGAGAGAGAAAGGGAATAAAATCACTTTGTAATCCCTATGTGCCATATTCCCTTATTCCCTTCTAACCTCCCAGTAAGATATGCTCAATGTCAACACCTGGTAGATCTGCAGGCACTTTTTTTGTGGTCACTATATGGTAGTTTCCCAAAATAAGGGGACCCCAATATAGACCCAGATATACTATAGTCCTTATGATTGAGACCCTTAAAAAGGTACCCATAATTTTGGGAAACCTCCATATCTAACATTTGTGGTAAGATAGCGTTATTTTTACTTGTAGTGCCCCCATAGGCTCCCCAGAATTTCCATGTATGTAATTTCGAAGGCCTTAGAAACAGCAAGTGGCATAATTTGTAGAGTTCACCTTCAGGATTCAAGAGATTTCGGGTTGGATCCTCAGCTCGTACGCTATGGTTTTGGGAGCCTTCATCAAGGACACCTACCTACCTACATGCCTACCTACCTACCTACTTACGTACCTACGTACCTACGTACCTACCTACCTGCATACATACATAGATTTGCACATGTACACACACATATATATGCATACATACATACATACATACATACATATGCATGTGAACATGTTTTATTAACATTTGCTTAGCTAAAAGTATTTAAACAGTATACGCGCGTGGAGCAGGTTTTGTGATGGTGTGTCGCGACAATAATGATCAACACAAGCAGTGGCTGCCTTGGAGGATGCCATAAAGCTAAGCCCACGAGAGTAAAGTGCCTCCTTCTAACTTACTGGGGGTTGGTAGGGAAGGTTAAGGGGATATAATCCCTATATAACGTTTTCCCTTACTCCCTACTAATCTCCAGTAAGAACAAGAGTCTGAACCCTAAACCCGAAGCGGAGTGACATGGCACTCTGAACCCTAAACCCTATACCCTTCTTGGGGCGGAGTCTCGGGCCCTCTATGTATCATCAGGGTATATAAGGGTACATAGGCGAATATAGGCATGTGTAGGGTATGCAGGGAATATATAGGGATTAAGTAGGAGTATAGACTGCGTATATGGGGAGTAACAGGGTCCGCTAGTAGGCCTTTCCGCCAAGAAGACGCCGTTTTAGAAAGGAGCAGCATGTAGCTAAGCCATGGCCCAGAAGGCCCAAAATCCCTTAACTCGGGAATAAGAAAGGGTTTAGGGTTCAGGGCTTAGGGTTTAGGGACCTTCAATCATTTCAGGGATCCCCAAAATATACCCTATAATCCCCATATAACCCCATTATGGTAGTTTCCATTTTCTTTTCCATTATCCCAATATAACCCCAATATAATCCCTATATAGCCCCTAAAAAACCCTATAATCCCTATAGTTTCCATTTTCTTTTCCATTATCCCAATATATATATATCCTAAACCCTAAACCCTTCAATCATTTTAGGGATCCTTAGTATATAGCTTTCGCAGCCAAGGCCTGGCACGCTGTCCGATGCCGGGGATGCGGCGGGCACACTTGAGGTTCTGCCTCAGCTGCCCTCCTCAGAGGTGCACTTCGGTGGAGGGGGGGGGGGTTTAGGGTTTAGGGTTTAGGGTTTGGGGATGTCAGGTTAGACAAACTTCCACACTCAAAGGGCCATAAGCCCAAGCAGGAGGGACATTCATATGGAAAAAGGCAGGCTTCAACAAGGGGAGGGGTTTCAAAAACGAAAGGACCATTCTTGAAGTTCCTTATGGTCTTCTTGGGCCTTTGGGAAATACTGAATCATCGCAAGAGGACATGGGAGCTACATGGCTTAGGGCTTTGGGTTTAGGGCTTAGGGAAGGAAGGAACGAAAACATGGAAGCGATCACACCGCTGGGAGCTTTGTTGCGGCTACTTTCGGAATCCGTTCACAACAGCCAACCAGCAAGTATTCATTACCCGCTTTTAGAGTCTATCGGGGACTCCCATAATCCACTTGTTAGGCCTGTTCAACCCTTGTAGTTATAGGGGCACCTGGACCCTGAAACCCTAAGCCCGAACCGTTGATCTCCAGCTTTGCCTGCAGGAGAGGTCCCCAGCTCGGCTACCTCCTTCTGCCACACGTCGCAGCCTCTGATGGGTCATGTCGTGGCTTCTCATTTATGTGCCGGAACTGGGTCCACATATTTCCCCAAACTCATGAAATCCGGAATTTCCTCCCAAAGAACCGGACCCGTCTGGAGCATGTACAAGTCTTCATGACTTGACACCTGTTTCAGAGCTTTGCGCAGGTCTGTAGATTTTTGGGTCAAAAGCAGATGAGTTTCTGAGTGCTTCTCAGAAGTTGAGACAAACTACAGCAGCATGGAGGAGCCATCCAACAAAGTTGACTAGACCTATACAAGTAAGAGTTTGTGCAGTGGCAGTGGCACTAAAGTCCAGCTTCATGCAAAAAGACAACAGCTTGCAGAGGCATCACGAGAAATAAGACCGACCAAAGCAACTCTCTGAAAATGGAGCGTGGTCGGAACAATGACTGGATTGATCTTGAAATTCCTCCCTCTGAGTTCCGTGCTGAATCAAGCCTGGAGACGGGCCAGTGTTTTCACTGGAAGCGGATTGCGGCAAATGAATGGCTCGGCCTTGTAACCGGTTGCTGTGTGCATTTGCGGAGTGCTCCGAACACCACGCTGGTAAAGTCCTTGGCCGGGGAGCTGGACGTTCAATCCTTCTGCAGGTACCTCAGCCATGGTCAGGGTCACCCAGTGCTAGTGGACTTGCAGACAGCTTGGGGTGAGGATGGGGCCGAAGCTGCTCGCATACTTCCTGGAGCCCGGGTATTGCGACAGGATCCAGTAGAGGCCTTGATCAGCTTCATCTGCTCAGCGAACAACAATGTGCCGCGGATCAGCTTGATGCTAGAGAGATTGCGCCAGCAGGCCGGCACGCCTCTCCTCAACCTGTCACCAACCTTAGCAGGCCAGATGGCCCAGGAATATTCGAAAGGCAGATCCGCGGTGCCCGCGCACGTCCGCGAGTTGATTTCCCAGGGCAAGCTTTGCAGCTTTCCCACGCCAGAGCGATTGGCGAGTTTTGGGGAGCTCGAGTTACAGGAGCTCGGCTTGGGCTACCGGGCTCGGTATGTGGCAGCAAGTGTAATGGCGGGCGACCTCAAGAAAGATCTGGAGGAGTTACGCAGGCTTCCGCGAGACGTGGCTGAGCGGGAGCTTCGCAAGTTTTCGGGGGTGGGCCCAAAGGTGGCTGCCTGCGTGGCCTTGTATGGTTTAGGTTTCAGCGATTCGGTCCCTGTTGACGTTCATGTAGCTCGGGCGGCTGGGCGAATGGCACCACCAGGGCTTGCAAGGCGGCTGGAAGCTTCAGCCTCGTTGACGCCTGGCCTCCATGCGGCGGTGGCAGACTTCTTCCGTGACCGTTTTGGAACTCATGCAGGTTGGGCGCAGCACTTGGTCTTTGCAGCCCAACGGCATCGCGCCAGTGTTGCGGTAAAATGGCATGTGGGCAAAGCTTGCTCAGTATGCACCATGGGGAAATCGTGTGGCCAGAACATTTGATAGTTTCCCAAAATAAGGGGATCCCAATATAGACCCCTAAATACCATAGTCCTTACTATAGGGGACCCCAAAAAGGTACCCCTACTTTTGGGAATCCCCCCATATATACCTATATAACCACCATTATAGTAGTTTGCATTTTCTTTTCCACTATCCCTATATAACCCCAACAATATAGCCCCCCAAAAGGTACACCTACTTTAGAATAATTCCCAATTCTGAGTTTCTCTTGCAGGTAGGGACCCGGAGGCCGAACCTGATTTGCCTGGGGCCTACATCAGAGTTGGCACATGGTGATTTCCTAAAATTAGGGGACCCAATATAGACCTTTGTATATCATAAGCCCAATTATTCATAGGGACACCAAAAAGGGTAAAAATTGCTTGAAGAATTTGATAGATTGACAGTATGATCTATTTAATTTTTCGCACATACATACATACATACGTACGTACGTACGTACATGCCCTAATTTTGGGAAACCTAAGCCCTATATAACCCCTACATCCCCCTTCAAAGGTACCCGAAACCCCCACATTTAAATTCCTTTGCTTGTGACCAGCGATGTCAGGGCTGCTTCGGTGGGGCTGGAAGCCGCTTCACCTGCATCCCCGTGGGGACGCGGAGACAAAGCTGCTATTTGGGGCAGAATCTTAGCTAAAGCTTAGGGTTTAGGGCTTAGGGTTTAGGGTTTGGGGCAGAATCTTAGCTGAAGCTTACAGGTTCTTAGTGGGGAATAAAGGAATATATTGTATAAGGATTATGTAGCAGTTATACTGTGTATAGGGATTACATTGTATAGGGATTATATAGGGATTATAGACCCATATCCCCTACGAAGAACCAGAAAGTAAAGACTCCTGATATGACCATACGGCCAAAGGCCAAGGGCTTGAAAGTGTTGGGAGCTGCTTGAGGATGTGACAGCATCACGGATGACCGGGCAATGCAGCGTCCCGCCTGGGCCTTCCAAGACAAAGAAGCCTCTTCAAACACGTTTGCCGGGCTTCGAGGTTTCATCACCGACTGTGGAGGCTGTGGTTGAGGCGCGACGGGCTGCGTTCTTGTGGAAGAATGGTCTGGGTGGCCTTCCAGATGGGAACCTTTCAAAATTACATTTTCTTGAGAAGCGCAAACAAGTCCCCCTCTTAACCACTTAGCCTCTGACCGCATGTTGAGGGTCCCACAAATATCCCACTTCTGTGCCACTCTAAGATGCCTTCTGGCTTTGAACTTTGCATTCGAGGTGATAGAGCTGGAGCACGACTTTTACTCCATCTCCCTGACTCCTCAGGCCACATGTGGTTTCCCAGACTTGTACCGAGCATGCAAACCAACAGCAGGCACACACGTTTGCTTGAGGGCAGCCCTTCCTATGTGGTACCAAGTTGCACTTTGGCAATTTGATTCTGATGGTGGGCTCCCGATGCAGGGTCTGTAGATGCTCCTGATGCCACCAAGTTTCTCTATGGTATGCCTCTTTTAGCATCCATTAACTTGATGACAGGTTCCTTGCTGGGCTGCCTTCTGCGCGCCGCTGGCCTCTTCTATCGCGCAGCTTCTGGCCATATGCTTACGGCTGTTTGCCCTCTGCTTGATGCTTGTGTACTCCCACAAGAGGTCGACAGAGTGCAAGTAGAACAAGCAGCAGCAACGGCGGCGGTAGCAGCAGCTGCAGCAGAAGAGAAAGCTGCAAAGCGGGTAAAGATGGGGGTCAGGGTAGTCGTCATGATGATCGTAGTTGCGGAGGAGATGATGGAATCGTCGATGTAGTGGTCGTGGGTAGTGGTAGCGGTAGTGGTGATCGTGGTATAAGTGGCAGTAGTGTTGGTAGTGGTCGTGGTATTGGCAGCAGCAGCAGGAGGAGGAGGAGTCGATCAAGTGCAACAGTTTGCAGTCTGTAGTGCTAAGTGCAACTCTCAGGTGCTGTACTTCCTGGCATACTCGAACGAGACAATGTTCGAGGGTGGGAAGTGGAAGCAGCCCATCTCGCCTTACTGGTGTCTCGGATCAGATAGAGGTTTCCAATAATGAGGGCCCTTTTTGTGGGAGTCCCATCAAAAGATGATAGCACATTGGTCTATGTTGGGACCCCTCATTTATGTCCACAAGGCAGTTTCTCTCAACTATTCTGTACGCCTGGAAATCATGGGACCGATGTAAGTGGGATGTTGGAAGACGGGCCGGTAATTTGGAAGGTCCCAAATTTCTTTAGAAGCTTGATTTGATTCTACGTGGCTGTCCGAGCGGCGCTGCTTGCGCATCATCTGCTGAGGAGCCTCAACGCGATGAAGCCACTTATCTCCATCGACCTGGTGATTACAGGGGTCTTACTTGGAGGGTCAGGGGGACTTAGTAAGTAGGTTAATAAGGGGGATAAGTTACTATATGGGTTATAGGGGTTATTCCCCTGACCCTCCAAGTAGTATCTTCGGAACTGTCTGTATCCATGCAACCACCTGGGGCTCCATGGATACAAGCTCCCACATGGCTGGTTCAGGGTTGTGGGTTTCGGGGTTCAGGGGTGGGGGTTTAGGGTTTAGAGTTTAGGGTTGGGAGGGGGGGTTAAGGTTTTTGTTGAGGGCCTTAGGGTGGACTCCTATCACCTCGGGCCAATCACCTCCTTGTAACAACCACACATTCGTGGAATTTCCTAGGGCCCTTGGTGGAGAACCTCACTCCCTCTTACATGTTAGGGGCCGTATCATATTGAAGACACAAAGAAGGAACACACTTATGACAACCTACCACCGGCCACCGGCCCCATTACATTACAGACCCGATGAAGTGATACATGATTCCGTGTAATTTGTTTTTTTTTTGGTGTGGTCCACCGCTACAACCTTAGACGCCTACAATGCTCCACGGTTCCGTGTATTGGAGAACCCCGCATGGCCCCTGGACTAAAGATCTAGTGGATTCCTTAATAGGTCCCCCTATAACCTTGGTCCGTGCAAATGATCATGGCTTCCCCTAGTACCCCCCTCTCTATTCTACCCCCCGCCCCCCCAACGTTCACCCTTGATAGGTTACCCTAAACCCTAAACCGCTTGGGCGGGGTAGTGTAGAGGGGATAATGTTAGGGCTATATTGGGGTTATAGTGGGATAATGGAAATACAATGGAAACTACAGGGATTAGAGGGATTATAGAAGGGTTTCACGAGGGTGGTTCTAGGGGAACCCATGACTACAAGGTTCCTGAATATATATATATATTTGTTTTTTTTCAATTTCTGTTACCTAGAATCCTAATATTTAGCTGAAATTATAATTTCTACTGGGGTTCCAAATCCCTTAGAGATGACATGATGGCCAGCAAGGATGATTTCGATCATGCTGTCCCTTTTCAAGGTGGCCTTGGTTAAGGGTTCTGGGTGTAGGGTGCCCATTGGGGTAATATAGGGACATATTGGGATAATGGAAAAGAAAATGGAAACTACTATTTAGGGTCTATGGGTTTAGGGTCTAGGGTTTCAGGGCTTGAGGTTTGGGAGTTTGGGAGTTTGGGGGTTTGGGGGTTTTGGGGGTTTGGGGGTTTGGGGTTGGGGTTGAAGGATTTAGGAGGTTAAGGTTTAGGAGGTTTAGGATCAGGGTCCAATTCTTGTACTTCAAGCACATTGCTGAGGCAGAAAGGGTAGGTAGGATGTTAATCATCGATTTGTCAGCAGCTGGTTGCCGAAAGCTGTTCCTTCACATCGTCCCTGATTCCTACGCCCTGCACGCGGCAGTGAGCTAGGGTGGGAGGCAACAAGCCTAGAGTCCAAGTTCAAATCCCTTTTGCCTTTAGCTACCTAAGCCAAACCCTAAATACACCTTGCACCTTGGGGTTGTGGCTTGGGTGATCGGGGCTGGTTGGCTGAGCTGGCATCTTGAGAGTGTGCAATAATGTGCTTGTCGCCGAACTTAGCATGCTTCCCGCATTGTGCGTAGCGATACATATGTACATTTATACATATGCATTATATACATCATACATAGAGATAGGGTTTTATAGGGTAATGTAGGGTTTGAGGGGTATAGATGTAGGTGGCAAACCCCCCAAAAGCCCCGACCTGGTTTGCAGGTGTCTATTGAGCTTGGTCATGCGCAGAGACTCTGCAGGTCCCTGGTGGCCAGGGCTCTCAGAAAGGCTTTCAGGTTTAGGGTTGGGTCGGTTGAGTGGTCGTTAGATGATGGCGAGGTACACTCCCGGAAACGAACATGGAAACCCAAAAAGGGTGCTCATAAAGACTACAGTCCCTTGAAAAGGGGCTATTTGGGTTTCCATGTTAGTTTGGGGGAGTGTAATGTAACATGATTTGTGCATACTGAGCCTTGAACCCTGAGATGTTGAAGCCGCAAGCGCAAGGTCGGCAATTTCGTCGACAACATCCGGCCTGTGGGGGCCTACTTAGTAAGTATACTTATAACATAACCCCTATAAGCCATATAACAACTCCCGAATTATTCCCATTATTAACCCAGTTACTAAGTCCCCATGAGCCTCCAAGTACCTGAAGTGGCAGATTGCTTTAGCTGAGCGAGGCAGAGAGCGCTTTTTTTTTTTTCTACCAAGGTCCTAGGCTGGTGGGCCTTGGCACTGCAGTACTTCATGGCACTATCTGTCCTATTCGTGCCTGGGTCTCAGTGCAGAACCCACGCCGCATGGATGATGGTTGGGCCTTGGAGTCCTCAGAGCATGGATGGGCATGCAATTCCCAAACCCCAGACAGATTTGAGTCATAGTCTAAACTCCTAGTATCCCCCTGAGTAACCCTTATGATACTCCCCGATAAAATTCCCATATAACTTTGAGTAGTTTAGATTATGGCTCGTAAAAAGACGTGTTGGTTTCAATGTATCAAAGAGGTATGGGGGATGCACGGGTAGTTCTCACCTGCTTTGGGTATCCACAACACCCCTTGAAACTAGCTAGCAATTAGGGAAGTCGATGCATCCCTACATCCCGGAGAGGGCCCTACATAGCCTGTAGCATGACCTCCCTTGTAGCTATCCAAATCTAGAGGTAGGCTGTCTGGCTTGCAGGTCTCTGTCGGTGGTGCTTGGTGCTACATCCTGTGCTTGGGCCTCAGGTGTGACACCCCACCTCTGCTGCTGCTGCTTCTGCTGCTCCTCCTGCTGCTGCAATAACAAAGCACTATTGCCCCTGAGGCAGCAACAACACATGATATTACTGCTACTGCTGCTGCTCCTTCTACACTTCTAGTGCTGCTGCTGCTGCTGCAACAACAACTATTACCACTACTGCTGCTGCTACTACTACTACTACTACTACGACGACCACTACCACCAATAGTACTGCTGCTTCGGTTACGGGTATGGCTACTACTGCTTCTACTGCGGCTGCTGCTCGTTGCTACTGCAGTTGCGGCTGCTGCTGCTGCTGCTGCCGCTGCCTGAGCAGTAGGATAAGACGAAGCTGGTATGACTGAAGCGCAAGAGGACGGCTGTTAAAACGTGGATATCTTCTTCAAGAAAAGGTCGGCTACTCTAAGCACTGCGCAAGAAATCTTGTTGCCACAAATCTTTCATGTTCCTAATCAACGTAGCCCTCGCGTGCCCTTTACAGGGCCTCAGAAGTTTGGGGGCCCCTTGATTTTCACATGGTTCCCAATACTGAATGCAACGTCATGTGTCGGTAATTTTCCATGCTTACTGGTTGTTAGCAGGGAACAAGGGAATATGTGTATATATATATATATACATAAGCTACGAACCTACATTATATTCACATATTCCCCCTGCTAACCCCTAGTAGATTTATAAATAATTCCCCAATACAATCCCTAATATAATACAGTAATTTCCATTTTCTTTTCCATTATTCCTCACATATAACCCCAATATACTATAATCGTTTCCATTTTCTTGTCCATTATTCCCTACATAAAACTGCAATATACTAATTACAGTAGTTTCTATTTTCTTTTCCATTATTCCCTATTTATAACCCCAATCTACACCCTAAGCATGGGCAGCCTGAGGTGGCGTGCTTCTTGAAGATCTTCAGTGTCTTCATCATCGTGGACATGGACAACTTAGCTGCTGGGTGCCCCCGGCTCATCTTGGTTGGTCGTCGGCCTTGCGGCACGTGGTTTAGGTGAAGGTATGCTATGCAAAAGGATTTCGTGTCTACAGGATTCAGCTGTTACTTGTAGGGGCTGTTAGAAACATCATCGAGTCTGGCGCGGCAGTCCTAGATCAAAGTCCACTCCAGGAAATCCACGATCCAGGCTTCAAAGTGGTAGGGTCTTTGGTTTAGCCACCGCGGCTGCTGCCACTGCTATGGTGATTGCCGCTATTGCAACCGCTGCCCCAGCCTAAACCCTAAGCCCTAAGCCCTCAACCCTACACCTTAAGCCCTAAACCCTAAGCCCTAAACATCCCTAAGCCCTAAATCCCAAACTACTCCTGCCAGGTTTGTCGACGGGATGACATACTTGGACTTCAAAGTCGAGGTCAGCCCTGAACGGCTCAAAAACTTTCGAAGGCCTTGCGGAGCACAGTACATTCACAGGGAGTAAATGAGTCAGAGTCTAAACTCCTGAAAAAGGGGGCTTATATAGGGGATTATATTGGGGACTACTATGGGGGTTGTTAAGGGATGAGCCATAATCTAAACTCCTTAAATGGGGGTTATAGAGGGAATTATAGAATTAAATAGGGGACTACTATAGGGGTTATTAGGGGGGATACTAGGAGTTTAGACCATGGCGCAACTGGTTTCTGTTTGGCATACTTGCAAAGAGTAGATGAGGATTCTCGTGCAATTCTGCCGGGCTGGGATTATGTGGGCTATTCTCCAAATCATGGGCCCCTTTTTGGTCATGGGTTATCTGCCGGCACCTAATATCTTGGCTTACCAAAATGGGGCCCTAATTTTGGGAACTACCCATATGGGGACTTTGAAGGGATGACAGGACCCTTTCCTCAGTTTGGTCGTCCATTGGGGCCGGCAGAAGAACGGGTAACAATGACTGGGTTGCTGTCAAGGAACTTGAATTAAGCTGTTATGATAAGGAAACCCTCGTATTCACTATATACCCATATTATGGTAGTTTAATATTCGCTATATACTCATATTATGGTAGTTTAATATTCACTACATACCCATATTATGGTAGCTTAATTTAGTGTCCTTAACAGGGGCCGTGGGGCTGGATGGGCTTTATTACAAAGTCCCATGAAGGGTGGTTGCACAGGGAAACCGGAAGAACATGAAGCTCGAGTGGGAATTAGATACTTAGTCAGCATGTGTGGATGACATGCGAATGATGAGTGATGACATAGGATTCTGCCACGGATTCTGTAGAAGTTTGACGTGATACGAGTGTCTTCGAAATTGAGGTATTGGGGGCCATTTGATTTCTTTCACATGTCATCATGATGATGCCGCCTTGCTGTAACCTTCCCTGTCAGGCATCACGGAAGGCTTGGCCGATGCTTATCTATCCGAGCTGTGTTCATGTTCATGCCTGCCAGTAACTCAGCAAGCTCGGTGGGGTCTCAGTAGTCTTGCAGGAGCAGGGCAGGACTTAGACGATCCCAGAAGGCTGGATTCCGCTGAGGTGACCCTGATCCTTTTGTCCTTGCTGATGTCTATCTACTTCAATACGATTCCACTGACGCTGCTCACGTCGCAAGCCTACCCTGCAGCATGTTGTTGCTTGTTGGGTGTGGACACTCATCCGCTGTCGACCTCTTAAGGTGGGGGCAGGTCAGCAATGAAGACGCTCCAAAGATGCTGGTGGATGCGGGCACTTGCGTGGTGCAGCTGACGCCTCAGCCGGTATGTTAGGGATTGTCAACACTATGGCTCCAGGATGTAGACAACATACCACTGTGTCTCATTCATGGGACCAATATGTCGACCCTCAGTATGGCTTCTCTTATTCCTAGGTTCTACCATTCAGGGGTTACCTCAACACGACACCAGTATAGCCGCCATATGGATCAACGTAGTCTCTAGGGTTGATGAGAAACATCCCTAGGCACAGGGGTACAACTCCAGGATCAACCCCAGAGTTGTAACTCTCGGGTTGCAATCCTAAGGTTTTGTAAGCCTGGAGGTACATCCTTAGGGGTACAATCCTGAAACTCTTGGTCTGGTCCTGAACGTTTGAGCCCTAAACCCTGAACCCTCAACCCTAAAGAGGCTCGTGCATCGCAAGGGCCTGGCACCCAGCATGGTCGCACCTTTGCAGTTGCTCCCTCCTGCAAGCAACCCCCTGAGAGTGACATCGATTGGTTGAATATTGGGATGAAGCCCTTATACAGGGTTGTACGGGGCTACGGGCTTTTACAAGGATATATATATATATATGTTTTGCGTGAGAGGGAGGGTACTAAAAATCCCACATGACCCTAAGTATCCTAAACTTTGGGAATCAGGGGAGCCTCGCACCTTGATATCATGCATGATGTTTTGGTACAGCTGTATGGTTATATATATATATCCTTATATAACCCCTATGCCCTTATGTATACTAAACTCCCTAGATACAACGCCTATACCCCTGTATGTTTATATAGATATATATATATACACTGAGGGTATGCATTTATTTCAGTTTTTTTTTTTGCGGGTCCTTGCTCCTGTTTGCTGACCATTGCTCTGTTCTCTGGTTCTGCTTGCTGACTTAGATAGATTGGTTCAGAAAGGCTTTCAAAAAAGGTTTTGTTTAGAGATTTTATAGAGGGTTGACAGGGGGTTATAGCTTTTGTAAACGGCTTGCAAAAGGTTAGAGATTGTTATGGAAGGTTCGTAGACGGTTTATGAAGGTTTCATAGAGCCTTTAGTGGAAGTTTATGAAGGTACCCCCGCCTGTGGTCCTGTGTTCTGGGTATTTCTGGGTCGTTTAAGTAGAGTTCGTGGTTCTGGAGGTTATAAATCTTGCTTATTCCCAGATGGGACCATACCGGGGGGGGCGGGGAGTAGGGCGGGCTGAGAAAGAGGAACGGACGTATATATGACCGCCCCCCCCCAACCACTCCACATGGTATGGGTTCCAAATTTTCTGTGGATCTGTGGTGCTGGTGGTTCTCCACCCCCGCTCCCCCCTGTGGTCCCTGGTTCTTTCTCCCCCGCGGTCCTTGTGGTGTTGGCAGTTCTCCACCCCTTGGGTACTGACTAGTGCCAGCTTACGATGAAGCCTACGTAGAACAATAACCCCAGGTATTTTCTGTGTTCTTCTCGGAGGTAAGTTCGTGGTCTAACGCAGCAAGTGCTCACAAAGGGCAGCGTGGAAGTCTCCCGGCAGCCCCATGTGTTTCAGACACGTTTGAGACTGCTGGCATTTTTTGAGGCGCGACAATGGCACGACGGTCTAAGAGTAACTACAAATACTGGATCTTACCTATGATTGTTGGCATTTTGCAGACTCCAAGACCACGCAAAAATCCAAAAGTGATGACAGCTAGGAGGATCGCGACGGTTGGGCGCCCCATCCCTGTGACTGTTGGCCCGTTGGCAGTTTTAAGCGGACAGGTACAGGGATGGCGGCTTTGAGGCGTCAAAAACGACGACAGTTACGAGGATGGCGCCCCATTCCAGGGACTGTTGGCATTTTGGAGATGTTTAGGATGCAGAGCAAAAGAGGACCATAGCGCGGGCGGTGGAGAATAGGAACCCCAGGACGGGGCTCATGTACGCTAAGCACTTTAAACCTTAAAACCCATGTACTAGTAACTATATAGCCCCCTATAGCTAAGGAGAAGGCTTGTCGGCCAATGTGTCGGTGCTGCTGCTTGCAGCCCTAGACCCCCACAGCGTGCGGGCCGCGGCTTCCATGATAGGGGGCTACGTAGAGTTTAGGGTTCAGGATATACAGGAGTTGTATAACGATATAGAAAATCATAATGGAGAACGAAATGGAAAAGAACATGGTACATTACATGGAAATTGAGATATTATGTAGGGGTTATGCGAATTATGCGAGCTATTGTCAGTATTCGGTTTTTTTGGGACCCCTAACACAGCACATAGGGGTCCCTTATGAATGTTAGCATAGTGCATAGTATCGTGCCTCACTGTAGCTCATCTAAAGTGACTCGGTTAGTCACCTACCCGCCTGACCTTGTCATTCGTCGTTCTTGCCGAGGGCCATCAAAGCATGCATGCATACATACATGCCTACATACCTACATATCCATATACATATTATACATACACACATACGTACATACGTACATGCGTACATACGTACATACACACATTCGCAGTATATATATATGTATGTATGTACGTATGTATGTATGTATGTATGTATGTATGTCTATATACACATGAGTGTGCAGTATATTTGCATACATATATATACACATATATGCATACATACATGCATGCATGCATGCATACATAAATACATACATACATACATACATACATACATATTATATATATATATATATTTATATTATTTCTTTACGTTTATTCGCAGATGCACGTAATATGTATATGTGGGCAGAGTGCACAGGGAAATGCAGGGGAGTTTTTTCTCGTAGGCAGATTGTAGGGATGCAGAGGGATGCACTGGAGTTGCAGACGTTTGCACACGTATATATGTATTCGTGAAGAGGTATGTGCCTACACCAAGCATGTGTGTACATCTGTACATCTGTAGAAACATATACACACAGGTTTCTATGTACTGTATACAGGGAGTGCGCAGGGTAAACATAGGCCAACCCGTAGAGAATGCTTAGACAGCATCAGCACATTCTGAGAATTTAGCGAGATATTGCCAACTTGTTTCTGTGCCTGAGCTTGCCTGTCTGCGAGGGGGGAAGGATGTTGTCGGGTTGTTACGGAGCTAGAAAGGCTTTAGGGTGTCGTGGCGCCAGTGGATGCTTTGCAGCCGTTCATGAGGTTGATGACCTGCGTCGCTCTCCTGCTATTTGTCCAGTTCTCCGCCACGCCTACCACATTCGTCCCGTCATGTCCCGTCGAGCTTTCGCCATGAGAATTGAGTACAACATCAGTCAGTTTTACCAGGGTGGGTGTTCTTTTCTTCAAACCTTCTACAACCGCAGGCAATCCCCGGCCCATAACCGCATGCCCTTCAGTAGAAATGCACAGATGAGAGCAGTTGCAACCCTAAACTTGAACCCCTAAAACCCAAAATCTTTGACTGTGAGCTCTGAACCCTAAATCCCAAACTGCAAATCCCTGAGGGTTTAGGGTTGAGGTTTTGGGGAAACCCGTGGTTTTGGGAGCTCCTGAGGATCAGGCTCTGGCACCACGCCGCGGGCTCAACACGCCTGGACATTTCTTGAGAGGTTTAGGGTTTAGGGTTTAGAAACTTATGAAAAATCACAGGGACACCTCTTTGTCAAGTCATCGTTGTTTGGGGTCCTTGTTGTTGGCCCCATCGGCCTTTAACGGCGCAAAAATTGCGGCCTCGCCTGAGCCCATTTTTCCTGGCCCTCGCAGTATTTGGCACACATTCGAAGGCTTGGAAG